GATCGCACGCGCAACTCGCCGACTTGTTAATCCGACAGTCGGGATCTCGGCTGCGATCGAAAGTTTTTCCCAGCTTCCGCAGAAGCGACGAGGTCGAAAATCGAGCGGTCGCTTCATCGCCGTAGCGCGCGCGAGATTAAACCGATGATTTTCAGGCAGGCTGGCGTTCATTCTTCAGCGTGCGAATTCCGATCTTCGCTTAAACAAAAGGACTTAATGGACGAGCGTGACGATCCGATAAAATCGTAATCAGCACACGCGATGCATCGGCAATCATTGCGCTCGCGATTCATTTGCTAAACGAATTTGGAGTGAGATGAGTGGGTGGGGGAAAAACAGGGAGAGAGAATGTAGGAGTATTGTCGGACGTTGCTCACGTTAAATACGCCGGTTTAATTACTAATTTAGAACTGTAAATGAGATACGGCTGCAGATATTGCCGTTCGACGATCGATTCGTATACTCGGCGTCGTACATAAATTACGGCAACACTGCGGATTATCACATCGGCGATCGCTGTAATTTTATCACTTCCGCATCATAATCGGGGGGGGGGGGNATCCTAGAGAGTCCTACGGTCCTCCCCGAATATCGCACGCGTGCGCGCGTAGAGGGAAAATTCTCGATTCTCATTAAATGTCTCGGGTTTCAATTAAAATGGGATTTTCAATCTCCGGCGGAATATCAATTAGGCACTAATTTCCCAACGACGAGGTCCTACTTTCCCGCTCGCGCGCCCGGCTTAAAACCCTCAATTTCGATTCCGCTTTAATTACATCTATCCCACGCTGATTGCCTATTATATGCTTCCAGACGAGTTTAACAAGCTACGACTTTACGAAGCTACGTTGCAGCGAAGGAACATCTCTTCCACTCGAACTCGCCTGATCGTCGCGAGTACTCAGCGTGCACTTTTTCGCGACGTCTTCGCGCGATTTCATAGCCTCGCGGCGCGGGCAGATTCGTGCGAGCGAATTCAACCACCTAAATGGATTTGCGATGCAATTTTTTAGCGAATCGAATTAAACACAGGTATTTCAATGGAAAACGACAGTTTGCGAATTTTGACTCGCGATTAAACGAAATTACCAAAACTCCGACGTGACAACGTGGATGTATAAAGAATGGATTTCATTTAACGTGTTAAAGTTATCCTCGTAACAGATTTTTAACGTATTGGAAAGAGAGAGAGAGAGAGAGAGAGAGAGAGAGAGAGAGAGACTTAAAAGTATTTTATACATGTGTATATATTAAAAATTAAATTAAAAATTTATCCAATTTTAAAAGTTTTTAATATATATATATATATATATATATTAAAAAAATATATATATATTATATTATATATATATATTAAAAAAAAATATATATATATATATATTAAAATATATATATATATATATATATATATATATATATTAAAAACTTTTAAAATTGGATAAATTTTTAATTTCGAATATTCTCGCGTGCTCTCATTGTGTTAGAAAGCGAGAAGGGGGGAAAAGAGAGAGGAGAAGGAATCTTCCTTTTAACCTTCGATAAAAGTATAAATCTTTATCCGCGCGATAAAAGTCCGGGAGTACGAAATAAATCGTACATTTTAATGTTAATAAGAACACGTTTCGCTTTTGATCGTTAATACGGGACAGCAAGCCGAGTGCTTTATAAGAGATTTCCATAATTCGACGAATGAATAAAATACTACCCTCCAGCGATTTTCTCGAACGTAACAGGTCTCGGGGAGCGAGACCGGGGATTTTCAGGGGAATTCTCGTGAGAAGAGGAGAAAGAGAGAAAGAGAGAGAGAGAGAAAAAGAGATATATGCATATATATATATATATATTCATTGCTGAGTGTCTTGCGCGCGCGATATCCTCACTTAATTCGATCTTTTAACCGCCCTCTCCGTCTTATTTGCCGGAATCAGTGACACTGAACTTGCCGTATATATCGTGCTCGCTCTCCTCCCAATCTGCTCCGAATCTCGCGAGGGCATTCGTCGGGGGCTCACTCGAATTCCGAAGCCCCTCGATTTCGTTACGTTCCGCTCGGGTTTATCGAGCGGACAGAGTGTCTGCTTGTCTGCCTGTCTATATATGTGGGTGAACGCAGGCGCGTGTCCGTTTCCGTGGTCGCTCGAGCTGCAAAAATTTTATGTGGAAACTGCGGAAACTACCCGCGAGACATGATATTCCGGCCCCCTGTAATAGCCCCGAGGACGACGACGACGATGAACCCCCGCGACTCCGCGTGGACGAGGAACGGACACGCGCTGGAATCGATCGCGCCTCATTTCCAGCGGGAGCTACTTTCCCGTTTTGCGTGCCTCCGGTTGTTACATTTAGCACATCTCTCCGCTCACCTTCTCTCACTTTCTCTCTCTCTCTCTCTCTCTCTCTCTCTCTTCTTCGTCTATTGCACGAAGCAAAATTAACAGTGATATCGTCGATGTAAAAGTTAGTCCTTAACCTTCCAACAGGCGAGTCGTTTTTAATTACGAAAGCCAACGCGTGCAAAAAGTACACCGTGAAATACTAAGGCAAATTTAAAGCAAGAGGATTAGACATTTTATGGGATAATTAATATCAAGAGAACGAATCATGAAGTTTAAAGACTCTTCTTTGGATCGTTGCGCATCAAATCGCTACCTCAGTCGTGTCTGATCTGAAAGTGTAAAAAAGACGCTTCGCAATCCCGAGAATTTATCTCTCGCTCCGTATCTCAATCGCCGATTTAAACCGTGGATAGCACATAAAGGAAAAGAGGGCGTTGTAATCTTTATCGGCGAAGGTTGACACGCCGGTCTAATTAACTTCGTGTCGGTTCTAAGGGTTTAATCCCGCGGAAAACCGGGTTCCGTGTGCACCGGCGGGAGGAAACATCAAGACTCTGCATCTTTCGTTCAATTCCGTGAAATTTCCGTTCCCGGACAAATTGAGAGGATCCACCGAAGAGTAAGGGCGAGGTGAAGATATAGATTTAATTTTGCGTCGTTGCCGTCGCGACGAAAGGCGAATTTTTCTCGTCGTCGACAAAATACGCGGGGGAAAGGAGGATCGGACGTCGCACGAGACGCGAGATTTCCCAGCGAGCAGCTCGTGTTGCCTTTGCGTCATCTTTTGCAGAAAGCAAAGAAAGAGAGAGAGAGAGAGAGAAAGGATAAAATTAAAGTAATTAACAAATGACCGTCGGAGACAATAACCTGTTATTCCGTAGAATTTAAAGGGGAAAGGAACGAGGATGAAATTAATTTTGAAGAAGGAAATTCTTATCGGGACAGAACGGGACGAACCGCTAATTAAGCGCGCAGCTTATTCCAATTAATTATCGTGGAGGCGATTAATTAGTAAAAATCATTTACTTTAAAGATGTACGGTCAGCGCGACGTGGCGTCGTGCAATGAATTGTGCAGATGGAACACTCGTTAAACACAACGGAGACTGAGACAGGTGAAGAGAAAGAAAAATATTGTGAAAATTTATATCAATAATGGGGCTCTCTCGGTGCGCCGCATTTTCGCGTGTTTCAGCGGCCTGGTCGAAATCCGCCAAGCATTACGATAATAAAGGGAAGGTGTAATTATATTCTAACGAGACTCCTTGTTTTTCGTTTCCCGTTACGTTTCCCATTACGGCGTAGGAACAACGATTATTTGTCAGCCCGCCGGTTGCGTAATCATTATCTCAGTCTCGTCAACGATAACAATTTCGCGCGGTTTATTTCCTTGCTTTCGCGATAAATCACGATGGATATTTTGCAGTCACGTCGCGTATGTATAATCACCGTAATGCGAATAAATACGCGGCTGATGGAGCAGTCGTCGAGATTGATGCCGATTGTCCGATGAACATCGCAAGCCGCAAGAATATCTCCGGGACATTCGCTTTTTCGTGTCGCTGTACACGCAGTACGCTCGTTTATGCGGATTAATGCGGGACATTAGTTTCGTGAAATCGCGGATTAATTTGGTGAGATTGAGTTACAGCGGTGTAAAAGGTCGAGAGGGGGCGGAATCGTGTCGCGCGATAATAAGCCTCTGAAGCGTTCGCGTTTCAGCTTTCCCCTCTGTTTTAACGGTGACGTCAGCGATTGCGCGGCCGCGACTAAATCATACGGTGCGAGCATCAGCGCGAGTCGCCGAATCGCAGGGGCGTAATGCGAAAACGAAGTGAAAAGTAATTACAGCCCTGCCGCGAAGTAATCGCGTCGCGACTTTCGCGAATTTAATATCCGCCGATTTGCCCGACGTCGGTTTAACGCGACGTGTTATTTTCGCACGCACTCCCGAATAATTAGCGCCGCGCGTTCCACGCGGCCCTATGTCGCGATTAACCGCTTAATTTATCGTGACGAGAGAGGAACGTTTGACCGTCATCAAGCCGTCCCGACAATGACGGTCGTGCAAAACGGACGGACGCGCACCGAGATCGGGCAAAAGTAATTTATCGGAGCACTTAATCGCCACGGTGACGTCATTTCTCGGACCGCGAAGGATCATCTATCATTGTGCAGCACGGACAATCGCGCGGATCAGGATTCGCTTTCACGATTAAAACGGTTTGTTAAGGTTGAAGTAAGACGAATCACCGGCCCGTGGAACCGTGATGAATATGGGCGTCCGGATTTGGGGGAAAAACCTGCGATTTAACTATCAGCCACGTGGAGTTCCGCCGAGTTTCCATGTCGTTTGAAAATGATCTCGTCCGGACGTCGATTGTAGTTCCCCGACGCTAATTTCATTTCCGCGCTGTTGCGCGTTGCGTGTGCGCGCGCGGCTGTTATATAATCAGATCGTTAGCGAAATGTTCAACTTGGCACGACGAATGTAACATTTAACCGTTATATGATACTTAAAATATACACGCTGATGCACAGAATGTTATATTTATATTTCGCTTCATTCAGTCGCTTTTGACACGAGTGTTGAGAAGTTAAAAATGTCGGGAGTGACGTTTATGTTGACGAGCTCTCGGCCGGACCAGTTTCGAGTTTTACTCACTTATATTTTTGTCCCTGTACTGTGGCCGCGCGTCACCTATGAAACAGACGAGGAGCACCCACACCGCGAACCAGCACGTTCCCATCTCGAGCTGAAATAAGAAGAGACACTCTGTGGATGGATTTAATTAAGAATTCAGTGGCGGTCCGCCGCACTTCGCAGTTTCTTTACGACCGCGATGTTACTGCGGCTTGACGCAATGTTTCGACTCGGAGGCGAAGTTCGTTACGACGAGGGAGCGTTGACACAACTCAACCGGGTTCAAAGGCACTCCGGACAGATCGAATTTAATTGATACGCGAGCTCGCCGCCCGGCCGATCACGATTTCATTGCCGCGCGCGCAACTAAGAAATCCCGAGTACGAGAAACCGGAGAGAAAGAACGAATCCCACCGAAATCTTGGGAACGTCCGCTTGAAATTTCAATTAAGGCGGGACAAAACATATTCGGGGGACCGGTGGGAAGGACCCAGGATCGATGTAACGCGGATTTATTCACAATAAATTCTGGCCGCTTTCGCCCGCTCGGAAGGAACCGGTCGTCGTCGTCGTTTCCTCACGAGAACTTATCGTCCCCCCCCCGTTGCATCTCGCCCGATCCATTACCGTGCTTGTACGGGGGTTGCTGAAGTTGCCGCGCGCACGCAAAAGGACGAGCGTTTTAATTTATGAAAGTTTTGAATTTTCGTCCCGCGGCTTCCCCGCGGAAGGATCCTCCGCAAAGAAACACCGGGGAGACGAAGTCGCATCGTTTAATCGTTCCCGCCGCTTGCGACGGTAATCGCGAGAGCTTCTCGCAATTTTGCCGCCGGATCCCTGTGCACAACTTCGTCGAGTTTTTCATCGTGCCGCCGATCGGGCAAATAGAGCGTTCGCTCCCAGTGTGTGCACAGTTCGAGAAGAACACTGCGTCCGCACATTTATATGACTATACCGGATCATCGACCCGCCTCGTAATCGCTGCAGGAATAATGCTCCTCTTCTCAACCGTCGAAACCGCCGAGACGGTCCTTTGTGGCAATCGCCTGAATAATCGGAGAGAAAGAGATAGCTCGAGAGACGAGACGCGCGCGCTAGAGAGAGAGAGAGAGATCGGTAGGATCCGGCGGCGCAGCGCGGTTAAATATTTCCGGATTTGCCGGGAATATGCACGCGCGGAGATGTTATAAAATATTTCTTTGAGGATTTCGACTGTGCGAAGATATTTCGTTCGACAAGCGTTTCCGCGCGGCGCTCGAGGATCTTTATGTCAGTTTCCGCGAATATTATTCGCGCTAGTCGCGCCCGACACGGAAAAGTTTTCCCGCTGCGAGACGGCTGCGGCGGCTTTATCTGCGAAATTAACGGGATTTCGTTGTCACGACGCTGCCGACGGCGAACGTGCGCGTTTTATCGTCGCAGTTCGAAAAAATACACGCCCGAACGTTCTCATCTCGTTTCGCGAGGCGTAATGCCGGAGCGTCAACCCGCGCGCACGCCGATCGTTTCCAGGTGATTGAAATCGTCCGGCAGATTGCCGGTGCGAGGATCATGAAAAAATACCGGCTGACGTTAACGGCCCCCGTCGAATTAAGAGAAGCGGATATTCTACGAGTCACACTCAATGAGATTGCGAAAAAGAGATGGATGATTGGCGTGGTAAAAGTCAGGAGAGAAACATCTACCTGTATGACATCCGCTTTATAACCATTCGTCATGCAGAGAAGAATCGAGTATTGTTTTTTATTTCTATAAAATAAATTGTGAATTTGCAAATAAAATTTCGCTAATCGACAGAGAGATATAAAATTTACGATCCGGGAAACATTCGTCAAGCGAAGATACGTTTTATCGGGGAATCTACCGTAGAGGAGAGGATGGTATTCGTATGATAATACACCTAAGAATTAATAAAGAATTAATAAACACCTAAGAATAAATTAAGAAGCATGATGATGTATAATTAAATGCTAAAATGCACTTTAAAAACATTGCAAAATGCTCGAAAGTAAACATGCACTGTAACAAATGCCGGCTATTGTGTATTAATATGTTAACCATATAACAACTGATTCTATAAGTAATTACTAGAATTCGCCACTTAACAGCGAAGATATTAAGAGGGATTATTACACCTACAAGGGCCATAATACCACTTTCTCCTTCATTAATTTTTCGCTCAATCGCATCTTCTACGCTCTAAGTTGAGTAAAATTCGAATATCGGCTTTTTTTAGATTATAATCACGCCTACACGTTACGTACACCGAGAAAGGGGAAGAAAACATACCAACATTAGTAGCAAACAACGTTGACGCAGCGTATCAAATATACGAGTTGGCAAAGTAGCCCGAAATGCTCTTAGTGCGGCTTAAACGCTAAGAGGATGTATATTAACAGTTGTTAAGTACACTTTCATGCTCGCTGGCGGCATATTAGATGACCTACAGGACCGACGTCACATAATTAACGGAAGTAATTCTCAGAGACCACGAAAGAACGGCGGATTTCACCGTCGCATAAATCGATCATAGTGAGTACACATACTTACGATCGAACGCGAGCCAGCTACAAAAGCGTCCCGAGGGATCCGTGAACATCAACGACTACGGAACATGATTAAACCTTGCTTCCCACGCTCAACAGCAGCAGCAACAACAACAACAACAACGGTCGATCCACGGCACCGCGATAACAACGCGAGAGGCGCGAAAAGACGCGCATTGTTATCGACGAAAGTCGTAACCGTCATTCTCCCGGCCTCACCCACTCATTTCACGAAAGAACGCATCGGAGTGTCCGAAGGGTAGACGTCTCCTTTTCCCGGCTTGGTACATATCCCTTCCGGAGGCTTAACCATCGGCCTGACCCTTCCCGGGGAAATCCCTAGACGGCCAGCGTAAAAGTTCCTATTCTGCCCGAAAGGAAAACATCGTCCAGTGCTGGAAGTGCAGGTCCTCTCGACCAGGATCATCCCGAGAGCCAAGAGAGTACACCCACACACGCGACCAAACCATATTCACGTATAACGTCGAGGATGTGCACGTACACAGACGCGCGCGCGTCCCGACGACGGAGTGATACTCGCGCGAGGTGGCGGGCCGCCTTCGAAGATCCTTCGAGCCTTCATCGATCACTATATAGCTACCTCGGGGTCAACCTCCACGTATCTCGTTTCATGGTTAGCCGGCTCGAAAATATTCCCTATCCCTTTTCATCAGGCCGGGAGAAGGGCGACTTTAGTGCGGCCGCCGGGAAGCGAAATTTAGAGCCCGCTCGGAGGTAAATAAAACGTATTCGGGTCGTCGGACCCTCGAGTTCGTGAATCCCCCGGATTCGCCGAGCACCGGGATTACTCTCGGTGAGATGTGACGTACGGGCGAGTCACTTTTGGCGGTCGGTCTTCGGGAGATGTCGCGGAAGTGACGATATTCCGATCAACGGTGCGATCATATTCCATATTTAATACGAAACCGTATCCGATCCCGCGTCCCCCCCCCCCCCCC